TGGAAACTGTAATGTCTGTTGAAGAAGAGGGGGCGGGAAAAAACTCACGCCTTCAAACTTGTAAACTTTTTTTTGTCTGTCGAAAAAACCCACCCTTCACACCACTCCAATACACATGTGCAAAAAACTAGTACTGCATAGCAACCTTTTTTTAAAAATCTCCAATAATATTGGCTTCTGCTTAATAAATCACAGCATTTAACGTTTCAAAAACCCCTTTTTTGTTTAAGCAAAAGATTTACTTAATATCCTATGATTAAAGAAAAATTGCTAGATTTTTTTAAAATTACAGTAGGAATAGTCTGTTTGCCCAGATAAAGCAGGAAATTTTAAAAAGGGGAAAACGGTTTTTTTTGTATATAAATCTAAAAACCCCTACCAGAAAACTTTCATCTCACGAATGGGGTTAAGGACACTCGACACCTTTTTTATGCACTGAAAACTCTTAGAATGTTAGTTCAAACAATGATCGGGACTCTGCTAAGATCCATTAGACATAAGGCCAATGGGGCCCCTCCAACCCGGCTAGCTTTTGTCAATATATTCGTGTACATATGAAAATGAGCGAGAAAATTTTTTCCATTTTGGTTATGTTTTGAGAAAATTAACCTAAAATTCTATTCAAACCGGGGGAAAATTTTCATACATATTTGGGGTGTCAAACGCAGAGATTTTTGTGGAAAAAAAAAAAATGAAAATTTTTTTAAACTTTCCCACCACGAGTTCAGTCCCCACAGGGATTCAAAACTTTGTTTCCCCAAAAAGGGATCGTAAATTACGGGGGTAAACTGTTTTTCTATACTGCCCCATCACACAATTGGGAAGTTAATCGAGAAGAAATTCTGTACAAAAACACAATCATTGAAAAAACTAAAATTATATATTATATATATAATAATATTTTAATATATAAAAAAAATTTTTAAAATATATAATATAAAAAAATATATATATATATAAATATAAAAAGGTAGTAGGTTGTAGACAGCAACCCCCCGGGGAATCTACCGTCCCCCCCAATGACTGTGAAACAAAACCTGAACTGTTTTGCTGTGGTAGGATTGCGGTTTTTTTTTTCTTCTCATAAAACGCTAAGAAAACAGGGATATTTTGCACTCCTACTTCACTTTGGTCCCTTCATAGACACGCACAGCTATATATATATATACATCATCTAGGTTTTTCTTTTTTTTCTAAATAGCTCTTTTTCTTTTTTCTTCTATTGTCCTTGGGAAGTGGAAAAAAATCTTCCCCCGTAGCCAGGGTCGTAAGGCACAAAATTCCGGGGGCAATGGGTAGAACCCCTTTTTCCCCGATAAAACTAAAAAAGAAGAAGAAAAATTTATAAAACTGGGTTTCTTAAATGTGCGGGTGAGGCGGGTGACAAGAAACAGATGATTGCGTGTATGAAAGAAAAGAAGTTGATGTCCGGCCCCAAGCGAAACAAAGCTGAAGGGGGGGGGAGTTTCAGTGGGGGAAAAAAATGGGGATTAAATCTGGAGTATCGAAGGTTAGAGCAAAGGAAGGGGACTAATGTTAAATGATCATTATGGAAGGAAAAGAGAAAATGTGTGTAAATTCAAGAAAATTTTGTGGATTAAAGTAAAAAGGGTTGGGTGCGAAAGTGGGGCTAATAAGGTGTTGCACCGGGGAAGAGAGGAATGCGGGAGAGGAGAGATTTTTGGGGGAGTTAAGTGAATATAGGGCCTTTGAACCAAGTGAGAGAGAAAAAGTGGTAGGGATTGAATCTAAAGGGAGAAACTTTTAGAGAGGGTGTGGGGAGGTAAGTTTGGGGTGCCCGTGTAAATGTAATGGGAGCCCTTTTTATTGAAATTTGTATAGAAAAGGGGTTTAGTTATAGGTAAACAATTTAAGAAAAAAAGGATAAAAAATATACACATATGATGTAGGGGGAAATGACAGTAGTTTGTTGGGTTATGTATTGGTAGATAAAAGACTGTTGATAGACTTCAGGATTTCAGTTATAGAGGGCCACAATAATCAGATCACTTTTTAGTTGTAGCTACACTAGAGTAAAAGGTAATGGGTACAAGGGGAATAGAAGCATCAGGGAAGAGAGAGGTAAAGGTTTAAAACTAAAAAAGGAGGCATTAGGGTAAGATAAACGCTATTGGGGGATAGATGGGCTAAAGAGACATAGGCAATGGGCGAAGAGGTATGGGGGAGGTTTAAAAAAAAAGTATGTTAGAGTGTCAGCAGAAGTTGTGGGTTTCAGGGAAAATGGGGGAGGAGGAAGGGGGCGATTTGGGGGAATGATGAGTAAAGAGAATAGTAAGGGAGAAAAAGTTTGCATATGAAAGTTTTTTCAAAATAAAGTGATGCAAGGGGGGAAAGTATTGGAGAAAAAAAGAGAAGTTAAGAGAGTGGTGAAAATGTAAAAAGAACAAATGAGAGGTGGGGGGAGATGTTATCAAAAAATTTTGTTTTAAAATAAAAAAAAGTTTTGGAGGAGATTAACAATTAAGAAGCCCAGAGAAAAAAGATTTTTCAGTTAAAAATAGAGAGGAAGTTATTAATGGAGAGTTTTTAAAGGGATTTGGGAAAATGGAAGGAATATTTTTGGGGAAATTTTTAAATGTGAAAGATGGGGAAACTTGATTTCGTTATAGGGCAAGGGGGAATTAAAATCTTTTAGGAGTGAGGAAGAGTCGTTGTGAGTGTGGGGGAAGTTCGTGAGGCGTAGGTAAAATAAAAAGGGGGTAAGGCACCGGGATTGGGGATAAAGTTTAGAAATTTTTTAAAAAGGGGGGGTTTTAAATTTTTGGAGGGGTTGGTGCATTATTTAATAAATGTATGGAAAGGGGAAGGGGACCTGGGGATTGGAGAGAGCATGATAGTTCCCTTGTATAAAGAAAAGGGGGGAAAAAAGAAGGCAAAAATTATGGGGGGATGCTGTTGAGTTACCGGTAAAGTGTTTGGTAATTTAAAAAAGAAAGAATTAAGAGTAAGCGGAGAAAGATAGCAAAAGAAAAAGGAGGCTTTAAAAAGGGTGGGGGGTGTGTGGGCCCAGTGTTTACAGTGAAACAATAATGAACATATTTAAAAAGGCTAAAGGGGTCTTTGGGGGATTTAGGGATTTGAAAAGGCGTAGACAGGTGGATGGGGGGGGCAATGTGGCAGATTTGCAAGTTAGGGTGTAGGATGGGTTACGAAACGTGAAGATTTTTTTCGAGGTTTGGGGCTCAAGTTAGAGTATTGGAAAGGGGGGAATTTTTTCCCAGAAAAAGTAGGTTTTAGCAAGGATTGGATGTCACCGGGTTGTTTAAAAATTTTTAAGAGGGGTTGTAAGAAAGAAATGCGGGGGGTTTTGGGCAAGAGGCGGGAAATTTAAAAGAAAAAGAATCACACACAAAGTGGATTTTTGCCAGCTGCTCTTTCTGATGCACTGTCCCTCTTGGGAGATTCTGAAAGAAGTTGCAGAGATTGGTGGAGAATTGGTAGGGGTCAAAAGAAGAAAATTAAAGGTGAATCGGAAAAAGAAGGGTTATGAAAAACAAAAAGATTGGGTGATGAAAGATTGAATATAAATTTGGAGGGAGGTATGGGGGAGGTGAACGATTCAGTTTTTGGGATGGACGTGAGGGAGGGGTTATGAAAAGAGTGAATCATAGAATTGATGGGGGAAAAAGAGTGAGGGGTGCATTAGGAGTCTGTGGGACAAAGAATTTGTCCTTGGGGGCAAAGAGGGAAAATGTATAGAGTATAGTTTTACCAAACGCTCTAAATGGGTGGAAGCGGGGGTGATAAATGTTGCGCGGGGAAAAGGGTGGAGCAGGGAATGTCGTCTGGGGGCAATGGGTGGTGTGAAAATAATGCAGAAAATTTCGTGTTTGGAATTTAGGAGGTGCGGGATTACCAAAACTTTTTTCCCAAGGGGGCTGAGAAGGGGTTTTGAGGTGGTTCGGACATGTAAGGAAGGGAGCGAAACAGAATGTTTCAAGAGTGTATCAGTCTGTAGGGGAAAGGGAGGCGGGGTGGGGGGGCCTAGAAGGGTTGGGGGGGGGGAAAAGGGGGTTTTTGTGTGCGGGGGCTTGGCTTCCCGCAGGCAGCGTGACGTGTTTTAGGATTTAATGGAGACAAAAGGTTTTTTAAAATTGACTGCTGTTGGAGTGGAGCAAAGTAAAATTTATGAAGGATTCAGGGAAACCGGCAGGCCGACTTGAGCCTGGAGATGGGAAGTACGTGCCCGCACTTGAAGGGGGGGTGTTTAAAGTTGCGTTTAAAAAATGTAGTGTAAAACACCCTTCGGCAAACATGATGGAGTGAATGAAGGGGGAAAGTTTTTTTTTTGGGGCCACCCTGCCTTGGGGGGAATCGCCGGGGTAAATAAAAAAAAATAAAAAAAAAAATATATAAAATATTTAATATATAATATGTAATAATATACATACATAACATACATCATACATATACTCATATACATAAATATACATTTTAAATTGTGTGTGTGTGTGTGTGTGTGTTGGTTTTTGTGTGGTGTGTTGTGTGGTGTGTGTTGGGGTGTGTGTGTGTTGGTGTGGTGTGTTAGTTAAATTTATTTTCAGATTTTATAAAAAATTTTTTAAAATGAGCTGACCGACCCAAGAATTGCATATACTATTTATATTTCCAAAAGCATAAGAGCTAGTGCGAAAATTTGCTCACTACGGTGATTTTGGGCAAGTTTTGACGGCAGACTGGGAGGCAGAGGCGTGATGCGCCGAGATACACGTTTTTAAGGGGTTTCTTTCCGGGTCCTTATCTAGGATAATGCAATGACACAGAAAATAACACTTACCGTATTTATTGGCAAAAATTTCCCCCGAAAAGGTGATTCTCACTTACTGGAAAGGACACAAAAGCATTAATTAGGTGCTTTACATTATTTTTAAATGTCAAGACAATTTATGTTCAGAACATCAAAACTGCAATCATAATTTCTTGAAGATAAGAATTCACACCTAAATATTACAATTTAAGCCATGTTGCAAGTTGTTTACCTTATCATGGTGGAAGACGAGATCGTAGATTGTTGAAGATTGTAACATGTTGCACTATGTGGGTGCCTCTGCAACAAGTGAGGTCACCTAATAACTTCCCCAAAACTTTCTAAACAATATATACTATTTTTTTTAAATCTCTGAAAGTACTGAAATCTAGGGAATATTTATCATTTTGAAACAGAATAATCAAAATATAATTTATTTATAAAATAAAAATCAGTCACCATGATGAGTGGAGAGGGTGATGTTTAAGATTTTACTAAGTATAACTGGAATAGAGTTTTAATATAAATACAAAACCAAAAATTTTAAGAGATGACTTGAAGAAAAAGAAGGCGGATAAAGTCAAATAATTAATATCACATTTTTTATAACCAAAGTCATTTGATATCTCATACCAAAGTTTAAATGGTATGTAGTTTGTATTCTGTGCTCGACGCGCATGAGTGTGTTCTTGAAGACAAATAATCCAATGTGATTTCGAATTTTAAAAAAAAAACTTGAAATTCAATTCATCACATATCACCACCTGCACTTTGCCTGATAGACAACGGTGTTGTTTAGAGCCGAAGGGTAATTTAGCAGTTTAGAAGGGCAAAAGGAGAGAGTCGCTGTGTAGGTTGGTTGGTTGGCTACACTACACTAGACACATTAAAGCTGTGCCTAACTTTTTCTATACCTCACAAGAATAATTAATCCCTAAAATAGGGATTTTAGTAAATTCTCAACATATATGCGTTGAGAGAAGTACACCTCTTGGTGAAGGTATCCTGTCAGTGTAGTAAATTAGTCACCATGAAAAATGTACATTTTAAGTAGAACCACTAGAGGAGATAAGACATTAAGCAAGTCAGGGCAGTTTAGGAGTACCTAATGAGCTTTTCGTGTGAAATATTTACTTAACATCCTCATCCTCATTTTGCACTGACACGCGTAATACGTTGCACCGTCAAACATGTCTTACCACCACATTCACCTGCCCTCAACTGATCCCATACTATGAAACGTCACATGACCCGAGCTGAACGAAACGTCTAATTAGAAGTCTCGAAATCTCGCGTTTCCTCCTGCCAGGCAAAAAAAAAAAATTAAATTTTACGAGTCTCTTATTGTTAAACCGAATTGTTTGATACGAATATAATATAAAATGCAAACACTTCCATTTTTATGTAAATAATAAACCAGCTAAATTACTATGTTTGTATATTTGCAATATCATTGCCAATATCATTCTTGGCACGGTTCAGACGCCTCAACTCTGGCAGCTCAGCTGCCTCGTAGCCAGGATTCACACCGCTTAAATAAGGAATGATTGATTCTTGTTATTAATAATGACATGTGTGCAAACACTAAGACCATTATTATGAAAAGTTTCAGTCTTGGGACCATGTTGACTCCTTACAGCTCCTGGGGAATGGGAGGTAATCGGATTTGATCCGAGGAAGGGGAGGGTTGCTTCGACTGACTCGAAGCACACTTATGAACGCACGAAGAGTCACAAGAGTCTCCACTGTTTACATCACTACTGGAGGTTCGGTGAAAAGTTTATGATCCAGGGAGATGGATCTGCCTTGTGCTTCCTAAGATCTGATCTGTATAACTGTATGACCCCTACGGGCTTAGCGCTTCCTTGGGATTTTTTTAAAACTAGACTTGTTCCGGCCCCTGCAAGTTCAGAGGAAGACATCCCCTGTATCTTATAAACAGAGCCTCGTCTACCTCTGTGATCCAAGATAGATATCCCTGTATTCCATGAATCCAGTCCCTCTACCTCAATGGCTGGATATAGATATTCCGATATTCCATAAGCTCAGTCCCCACTGTCTAAGTGATCCGAGGAAAGCATCCCATAAGCCCAGCCCCTCTTATTCAGTGATACAAGGGTAGGTATTCCCACATCCCATAAGCCAAGACCCCTCATTTACAATGATTAGAGTTAGATATTCGTCGCATCCCATAAGCATGGCTCCCTCTATTAAGCCTAGACCTCTCTTCCTTAGTTAGATATTCCATCTCAATGATCTGAGAAAAGCATCCCCCGTATCCCATAAGCCTAGCCTTGTCTACCATAATGATCCGAAGAAAGGTATCCCCGCATCCCCTAAGCCCTGTTTCCTTACGCTTAATAATCCGATAAAGGTACCTCTGTATTCCATAAGCAAAGTCTCCTCTACCTCAATGATCTGAGAAAAGCATCCCCTGTATCCCATAGCCTGTCCCCCCCTGTACCTCAGTGATCTGAGACAAGTATCCCCACAACCCCATAAGCATAGCTGGGAAGGAAAAGTTCAATACTGCTGTATATATTTCTGTGCTAATGTATGTATGTGTGTGGACTGAGTCGTTTGAATGCCTGACGCTATTTTTACAGACGAACCCAGGTGTCAGAATTGCCTCCTTGCCTCTTACCACGCTTCTCTTTGAGGGCAGAAGCGGTGGTAGGTGGTATGGGGTACTGGGCATTGTCAGCAAGTCACTGAGGTATCCAGTTCTGTATGTGTTTTAATTGGGCCAGCGAGACTACGAAGGATCACCTGGGTTGCAGACTTTGTTATAAAGTCTTGGATTTAATCTGGCCTACTTTCACCTTCATCTTCTCTGGAAATGCTGCTACGTATGTGTGTCACGAAATCAAAATAAAACGACTGCAAACAAATCAGGGAACTGGTGTGGACTTCATCCTATAGCGAGTGAGTTAGCCAGTCGGCCAGCTGGATGAATCTTATTAGAGCCAGCTGGCTGAGTGGTTAACGCTTACTTGCTACGAGTTCAAGCCCCACCCGTTCCGTGATGTGCTACGTATGTGAAGCCGGGTTCCCCATCAACTAAAACCGACTGGTGGTGTTCATTTTTGGTAAATGCGCAACTTCTGCTGCATTTTTAAAGAGTTATTCAGGTAACTTTGCTCACGTGGATCAGTCCCTCAAGAAATAAAAGGACCCAGTTATCCCCTTGTGCTTTTGAATATTTGTCATTTAGCTCTGTTTATTTCTGTAATTTTCTTTTAAGTTTTCATTGTTGTATACAGTTAGGAATTGCGTCAAGTTTCTGTTTTTATAAATTTGAATTGCATGAATTTTTGTGTCATCTTTCCCACAAAATTTTTTAAATTTTTAATTTTTATTTTATTTTTTCCCCCCCGAAATTTTTTCCAGAGAATGTTGTGGCGTCTCCGAAAATTTTGGGGGAGAGTCCGGGGTTACTATTCAAAAACAGATAGATTTCCTCCGCATCCAAAAAGCTTCCCCCCTCTCCCTAATGATCAGTGTTATTCCCCCTATTCATAGATCCACTTTTTCTTTTAAATGATCCAAGGAAGATATACCTTATTTAATAAGCACAGCCCACTTCCCTAAATATACGTAAAAATGGAAGTTGCAAAGGGGTTTGTTATTTTAATTAAAAAAACATAGAATATAGTGAGTGCTATACAGGAATATTGCACACTTCTGCGAAGATTCATGCATGCATTTTAATGTGGTGCTGTGTTTATGCATTGACGTTTTTTATTTTATATATTATATATATATATATTTATATAATATATATAAAATATATATTATTATATTGTATATTTTTTTATTTATTATATATATATATATATTTTTATATATATATTTATAATTTAATATATTGAGGTAGTGGGTTTGGTAGACAGCAACCCCCCAGGGAAGTATACCGTCCTCCCAGATGATTGAAAAAAAAAACCGTAACTGTTTTGATGTGGTAGGATTGTGGTTTTTTTTCGTTCTAAAACGCTAAGTAACAGGGTATCTTGTACCCCTATTACACTTTGGTCCACTTACAGACACGCACATGCATTATTATTTACAAAAATCTAGGTTTTTCTCCTTTTTAAAAATTTAAAGTTTGTTCTTTTTTATTTCTTTATTGAGGGGGGAAGGGGAAAAAAGAATCTTTCCCCCGTAACCCATGCGTGTGTAGAGGCGACTAAAATGCCGGGAGCAATGGAGAACCCCCTTCCCCTGATAAATTATAAAAAGAGAAAAAGGGGAAAAACTTTTTAAAATGGGTTGCTTAAATGGGGTGGATGTAGTGCGGATGACAAGAAAAATGATTGTGAGTTATGAATGAAAAAAAGTTGGATGTTGGCCAAAGCAAAACAAAGCTAAAGGGGGTAGGAGGTTTCAGGGGGGGAAAATAATGGGATTAAATTGGTTTGAGGGGTTTAGGAAAAAGGAAAAGGGGTAGGTAATTTTAAATTCAGTTAGGGAAAGGGGAAAAAAGAAAATATGATGTGTAAATTAAGAATTATGTGGATTAAAGTAAAGGTTGGATGCGGAAGGGGTTTTAATAAGGTGTATGCCCTGGGAAGGAGGAATGCAAGGAGAGGGGAGAGTTTTTGGGGAGATGTTAAGGAATGTATGGAGCCTTTGAACCAAGTGAGAGAGTAATTGTGGTGGGGGTTGAAGCAAAAGTAGGAGAAACTTTTAGAGAGGGTGTGGTAGGTAATTTTGGGGTGCCAGGTGTAAATGTAATGGGAGCCCTTTGATTGAATTTTTTATAAAAAAGGGGTTTTTTTAAAGGTAATACATTTTTTAAAGAAAAAGAGGATAAAAAAAGTATCACGTATGATGTGGGGGCGAAATGACAGTGTTTTTGGATTATGTATTGGTGAAAAAAGATGTTGAGTAGATTTAGGATGTAAGTTTATAGAGGGGCCACGATATATCAATACTTTCTAGTTTAGCTACATGAGGTAAAAGGTAGGGGTAAAGGAGAAAGAAGCATCGGGGAAAAGAGAGAGGTGAAGGTTTATAAACTAAAAGGAGGATTAGGGTAAGATTAAAAAGCTTTTGGGGAAAAATGGGCAAAAGAGAGCATAGGCAAGGGGGGTCAAAAGGGAGGTATGGGGTGGTTTTAAAAATTTTAGTGTTAGAGTGTTCGAGAAGTTTGGGGTTTAAAGGGAAAAAGGGGGTTTTCAGGAGGGAGAGGAGCGATGGTGGAATGATGATGAAAAGAGAGTAGTAAGGGGAAAAAGTTAGCATATGAAAAGTTTTAAAAAGTAGAAGAAATGCAAGGGGGGAAAAGAGTATAGGGAGAAAAAGAGAGGGTTAAGAGGTGGTGAAGAATGTAAAAGAGAGCAAATGGGAGTGGGTGAGTTTTATCAACAAATTTTGTAGAAAAAAAAAAAAGTTTTGGAGTGAGTTAACAAGTTAAGAAAGCTAAAAAAAAAAAATTTGTTGTCAGTAAAAATAGGAGAGGAGAGTTATTAAATGGGAGTTAGGGTTTTGGGGAAAGATAAAAGGAATATTTTGAGGAATGTTAAATTTGATGAAGTAGGGAAGCTGTGTTTTCGTGTATAGGGCAGGGGAATAAATCTTGTAGGAGTGAGGAAGAGCCGTTGTGAGTGTGGGGAAAGTTCGTGAGGCAGTAGGTTTTAAATGAAAGGGGGTAAGGCACCCGGGATTGAGGGGATAAAGTTTTGAAATGTTAAAAGCGGGGGGGATTAGTTTTGGAGGGGGTTGGTCAATTATTTAATAAATGTATGGAGGGGAAAGGTACCTAGGGATTGGCAGGGGAGCAGCATATTTCCCTTTGTTTTAAAAGGAAAAGGGGAAAAAAAGGAGTGAAAAAATTATAGGGGGATAAAGTCTGTTGGTGTACCTGGAAAGGTATGGTAGATTATAATTAAAAGAATTAGGGAAAGACGGAGAATAGGTGCAGATGAAAAAGGGGTTTTTGGAAGGTAGGGGGTGTGTGGCCCAGGGTTTACGTGAAACATATAAGTGAACGTTTTTTGATGGGCTAAAAGGTTTTTGCATTTATGGATTTGGAAAAGGGTTTATGACGGGGTGGATGGGGGGGAAATGTGGCGATTTTGCAAGTGAGGGTGTAGGAGGTAGGTTAGGGGGGAAAGCGGGAAAAGAGTTTTTCGAGGATGTGGGGCTCAAGTTGAGTATGTAAAAAAGGGGGAAAATTTTTTCCCAAAAAAAAGTAGGCCTTAGCCCAAAGG